AAAAGTATTAGCATAAGTGTGTGCTCTATTAGTTTAAATAAAATCAAGCTATACACAGTAATGTATTTTCTGAGAGCTACAACCCACCTAGCATCCTTAGCTTGCTCTATTGCATTTTCTTGTGCATCTTAATTTCAAAAAAAAAACTGCAAACCAAAATTTTGCTATGTTCTGATCCTAAATAATTTAGAAGAGTAACTTGATTACAGTGTTGTATTACAAAGTGCTTATGCAGCTGCTTGTGCTCCAGCTTATTATACTTCTTTCTTTTGCTTTTTTTAAAGTATTTTTAAACTCTCTTCTGTATGAGTGTTTAGATTTAATATATTCTCCAGAAATTCAGAAAAATGCTATCAACCTTTATTTCACCATGGGATTTAAATTACACTGGAGTATTGTCACAGCATGTTTTGCTGGAAAAGTGGATCCACCTTCAATATATGTAGATCATATGCAAAGTATTGATTAATTTCTTAAAAAGTTCAGTAAGTCTTCTCTCACCAGTATACCTAGAAGATTTATAATTATATAGCAAGGCAGCCCAGCCTGCAGTGGATACTTGTATCTTTTACCTGTACTTAAAAGAGGTTCCTTACTGTGGTTAAAAGTAATTTCCTGCCACTTGAGTTACTGATCTCAAGTCTCTTTCTCTGAGTTGTAGAAACTTTTGCAGATCCCTGAGGAGAGGTCTGAAAAATAAATCCAAAAAGATTGGTAAAGGTTTTGCTAGTGTTTGCCTAATAATCTGTGTAATTTCTACCAACAGTTTGTAAATAAACTTGGAACAAAAAAAAAATTATAAAAACTTCCAAGAACAGCAAAACCTGAAATAAGCAAATAAAATTCAATTACAAAATGTATTGAACCATTTTTCCTTTACAGAATGTTGAGATACCTGCACTGAATATACTTACCACATGCAGTCATACCCAATTTGCTAGTACAAGTGCTGATTTACTGCAAGTGAGCAGAACTCCTGTAATTTTAGGGTTCCCCATTCCAGTAAATCTTTTATTTATTTTTGATTTATTCTCTTCCACTGAATCATCTTCTAGAGTCTTAAAATTTAGATGAAGTTCTAGGAGTCAGGTTTTTACTTTGCCTCTTGTAAACCCCAGGATTTAATCTGTCTCTTCTTTCTTCATAAGATTTACCCATGGAGTCTTGCTTGCCCTCAGAGCCTTGCTGACTGAGCATCTCCATTCCCTACTCTCAGCCTAAGCCATTTTAAAAGTAGCTGACATTGCACTAAACTTAAGTGCCAATCTAAATCCCACCTGTCTTTAGTTTCAGAATGGCTGCGATTGTTGCCTTTCCTGGGCGTGCTGGCCCTGCTTGGTTACCTCGCTGTTCGTCCCTTCCTCCCCAAGAAGAAGCAGCAGAAGGATAGCTTGATTAACCTTAAGATCCAGAAGGAAAATCCCAAAGTAGTGAATGAAATAAACATTGAAGATCTGTGCCTCACTAAAGCTTACTGCAGGTGTTGGCGTTCTAAGACGGTAAGACATTGTGTTACTGTAGGATTAGAGATTGAAACTTGCATGTTTTTATCAGTGCTTTGGTGGTGAATGTTGACCTGTTGCTTTTCTCTGGAGGTGGGACATGTTCCTGAGTTTTGCAGAATGGCACAATTCTTATTTTTTCTCCACATACACCTATCTACATGCAGAAAGAAACTGTAGAAACTTGAAAGAAATGCAGTAGGGCTTTTCTAGAAACATTTAGAGTGACCATGTGTGAGCAGAATAAAACCAACCAGGCTTTGTTTACTATTTTGAAATACACTGCAAATAATTAGAAGATAACTACTCTTATTTTGCAAAAAAACAATGCTTAGAAAGTTGTTCATATTAGAGTGAAAGTAAGACTGGGCCAGTGTTGGTGAGAGAGAGCATATCCCCATCAAGTCCAGAGCAGTCAATGACTGGTTTGGATAGTCTATCCCTGAAATCAACCAGATGTTAAATAAGCATTTTTCATCTAGCCTCAGTCTGAATTTCCTGATTCAATTTTGAATGTCCTGACTGCACTCTGGTTTTGTCCTCTCTGGACTGAATGCTTTCCCGTTTTAGCAACAAAAAAATCTGCCCTGAACTGAAGAAACTTGCTCAACTATTCTCACTTTGGACTAATCACTTCAGCCAAGTATTTCAGCTTTTCTTAAAAAAGTACTTTCTGGCTGCAAATGATTCAATCTATTCAGACCACTTCCAGAATAAATTTTAAACCATTTGTAGCTGTGATGGTTGCTCTGCTTGCTGTTCTGTCATGGAAAAGGGTTCATCCCTAACTTTGCGTCTAAGAACAGCTATTTTAGGACCTCACAAATCTAGTGACCTATTAACAGTGTTTGTTATCACATGTCCTCTGTCTGATAGGAGACAGAGAGTTTGATATTGAAACAGGACATAATAGGAGGAACTAGCAACATTATCAAAGTGCTCTTGGTATAGGAAGAAGTACAAAAATCACCTTGCAATTGCTGTACAGAGTTACTCTAATTCCTCATGTCTGTTTTCTTTCAGTTCCCTGTCTGTGATGGCTCCCACAACAAGCACAATGAATTAACAGGAGATAATGTAGGTCCACTAATACTCAAGAAGAAAGAAGTATAGCAGATGTTTAATCCCTTAGATCCTGACTGATAATAAGTCTTTTTATACCATTGTAGTTGCAAGGGGCAGCATTTATTATGTGATTGGTATAATTTAGTTTAATGATTGCTGTAGATTTCTTTATGGAATAAACTACATTTAGACAGTGCTGAATTTGTCACTGTTTCAATACCTTATTCTGAAAAGAATTTTGTCTGCTTTGTAAAACTGTAAAGTATCTATCTCTGTAAATAAGTCGTTTATTTCAACAATAAATTGACTTTCTACAACTAAGCCTTTTTTGTATGAACATGCAGTTATAAAACTCACTATTTCAAGTGACAGAAGTGCACTTTTCTGTTTGATTTTGTTCTGCTGAGAAGCCGTGTTTTAGTTTGCTTTTCAGCAACAAATTTGAGTGCAGTGCAGTGGGGGAGAAAAAAGATACTAAATTCATTGTTTGTGAATGTATATTCAGGCAGGCAGCATAGCAGTGTTAAGTTATGGTAACTGAAGGTCTGGCCTGTGCAGACTGCCTGCCTGGGCAGTTTGTTAGTCTTATGCAAAGTAGCCCAGCTCAGACAAACCCCAGACAAACAGCTGGAGAGTTTCCTACAGCATCCTAGGTGGAGTGCTGCAGTTCCAGACTGTATAAAAACTAAACTACTGAGCAGGTCAGCCACAAACATTATCCCTTTGTTTCAGGCCCCTGTGTTGTTCATGAGCTCTTGGGAGGAAACACCAATTTGCTTCATCCAAGTTCACTTGCACTGTAGTTGCTACTTTTTGTAATGGGAACTCTCATGGGATGAATGGGTTAAATGACAGAACTATGGATGCAGAGCTGAGCTGTTCCCCATTCAGAATTATTATTTAGGCAAGTCAGAACTTTGCTGTGATGTGGCTTAATTTCAGATGCAGGTAAATAATTGCTACTTACCTAACTGCTAGACTTCTAATGATTCTAAAGTGCTTTATTCTCCCATGAAAGACTGTATCCATCAGTTTAAAAACAAAAATCTGATCCATGCTACAGTTTTAGACAGTTGTACTGAGGCAGATTTCAGCCATTCCTTAACAGCATTTCATTTGACCCATTGTCAGGCAGGTGGGAAGCCCCAGAGCTGTTGCCAAAGCTGATCACCACAGTGCTGAAGCAGAAAGCAAGTCAGAAAGCTGTTCTCACATAAGGGCTCTTGCAACAGCAGCAGAACTGAGGTAGATCATTCCTCCTCTTTTTGTAACTGTTGTAGTTCCAGGTACCAAAACCTCTTACCTTGCAACAAAAGATGGCAGATTAGAATGTGATTATGTGTTCACTGCCTGCTTTTACAGAGTGCGTAACAGAACCATGGTATAACCTCTAATGTATTAATGCTTCATGGTGGTCTTATTTCAATGGATAAGCAAAGCATAAACGTATTAGTATATAACATTTAAAATAGATAAAAATGTGTAATATTAGGTGTCTTATACTCAGTCTTCACTTAGAGAGGTATATTGAACACCATTCTTGGGTTTGGTGAAGAAGTTATTGTGAAATGCAAAAGCCTGTCTTTAGATTTCTTTTTTCAGGCTCTAAAATCCACAGCCCATTGCAGCAGGCTGTTATTATATAAAGCCCTGTATGTACTTCCGTCTTTTATCAGGATACTTTTGTATTCAAATAATTTGGTTTCCTCTGAAATCAAAACCAAACCAGTTAAACTAAGACAAACTTTGCTGAATTAAGTAATACAGCAAAATTGGTTTTGTTTCTCCCCAAAAGCTCCTCTAAAAGCAGAATGACAGTGTAAGGTTTAACCTCTTTACTCCATCTTTAATACAGCTCGATTGTGAAATAATTTTTTTCCCTGCCTGCTCTTAGAAGAGATTGCTGTTAAACTATCTACAAATGTGGCTATGGAATAAACAGGAGTTTGGTTTTTTGTGCTTATGTCTGTAATGGAATGGAACACATTTTTAGTGTTGCAAAAGCAGCACTCAGTTACAGTGCCTTTGTAGAAAGGATGTTTTAGTAATTTCCACAAGATAAAAATATAACGACAATCACAAGCAAGATAAATCACCATTTCCTTGCATTTCAAAATCTGTCAAGGTAATACTGTCTCACGGACACAGAAATTTCTGTAGAAAATCTCAAACAATTTACTAATCAGTTCAAATCATCTACCTGAAGTCTACAGAGATAGATAGCTAAGAGCTGAAGGGCCTGCAGCGCCCTGTAATTCACCAGCAATAGAGCGAGTTGAACCAATTACCTGACTTTTCTAACCTAATTTGGAAGCTCCACACAGAGGGATAAATTTGCCTTGAAGGCTAATAAAGACCAGAACTGAGGTAGTGGACTTGAGAACTCAGGTCTTCCCAGTCTTAATAAAAAATCAGGAGAAACTGAAATTGGCATATTGTGACATATCTTTTTACTCTACTAGAACAGTAATGTTTACCTTTCTTTTGATTATAATTTGAACAATAGTTAGATTAGGCTACAAATAAACTTGCAAGTTTAGAGAAAGGTGTTTGACTTGTGGCAACTACTAGACAAAGTAAATGTAATTGAAATGCAGCTGACCCAAAATTTATCTCTTTCGCTCTGTTTATTACAAAAGCAAAATGCAGAAACTTATGATTCATTGGTTTTTGGCTGTATTACACCATGACTGTTTCACAGTTAATTTCAGGCTTCAGTCTAAATTCCTTAAAAAACTGGCTGAAAAAGAGAGAGTAAGCAGTGATTATAATTACATTATCACTGCATCCCCTGGCCTGTGCAATTCCCTGCTTCCAGATGGCCAATTTCTGTCTTTTCCCATATGCTGCCTACTGTAACTCTGCCCAATGCTGGCTGCCAGGAATGCTGTCAGACCTTCTGCTGCAGAGGTTCTTCTGAACCTTCTGGAACGGCACGTTCAGTACTCTCCCGCGCTATGCCTGTGATTGTGTCTGCATGAGAGCGGGATTCCTCTGGTTATCAGTTACTGCACATTGTGCTCTAATTTTATTTCCCGCAAATAAGAGACTGGCATGGCATAAAGATTCTCTTGGCTTGAATTTATGCATTATTCGTTAATGATTTCCCTGGCGTTTTGTTAAAAGGGAGGTGGTCTTCAATGTTACGATTCACCCACATAAAAAGTGAAATCGTATCTCTCAAAGTTAACAGCTATTTAAAATTGGCTGAAATTGTCACGATACTTATTAAAAAACACAGTGTTATAGGTTCTTAGTGCTCATATAAGATTTCTTTTCATGACGAGATGCAAGTGTTTTCTTCTTTTCTGGAAGGTAAGGAGAGGAGCATTACAAAGCTTTAACGCTTTCAGTTTTAGATCTGCAGGTCTATGTAATAGCTTCAACCTGAATCTTTCTGAAGATTTAATAAAAGCTGGGGGAAAGGAGCCTTGTGAGAAATATCCACATAAGGTAGCAAAGAAAGAAAAATGCATGGAATTTCATTTAGATTAGCAAAAAGATGACACTTTTCAGCGGTATAGCTATTCAGGAACTCAGAATGGTGGAAGTGATGTAATGCATAAATTGAGAGTGCATTGAGGTTAAGGGGACATGGTAAATCTGATTTATGGGATGCTGTTATGGTGATAAGGTTATCATGAACAAAGGCTCTTTGTCAGAGGTTTGCTTGCATACTTAAGGTTGTGTCCAAATTTAAAGGGCTGTAATCCTTACAACATCACACTTCTGTTATCGACCAGATTCCAAATTGGGCAGAGTGATCTCAGTGGGAGGATTCAGCTTTTTATAAAACTTTATGAAAAAGTGAACTCCTCAAAGTTTTACTCAAGTGGAATTATTTTACAGACAGTCTGAACTGAACACTGTATTCCCTCACCTTGTCAGTTAGGTTTATAGACAATACAATTTCAAAATACAATAACCTCCTATTCAAACCACCCCTATTTAAGGAACAGAGTGCCTTCCCTTAGCCATGCAAAGTAGGCAGAACAGGCACAGAAGTCAAGGGATGACACAATAACCACCAAGCACAGCACCCTTAACCATTCATTGGTGCACAGTTTGAAAGCATCTTTTCAAGTCAGGAGACAAACATGAACTGAACTAAAGATGGTACATTCCCAAGGAAGCAGAGAGAACAACAGTGTGCATAGTAAAAAAATACCAGTGTACTTGACAACTGTTAGAGGAAAACTTGCCAAAGAATTTCCTCGTATTTTTATCACTGTGCTGGAATTGCAGGCTATTAAACATTTCTCAGGAAGCTTTCTTTCTGCCTTGGAGAGGAAGGCATATACAAAGGAACACATATTGATCTGTAATTAATCTGTATACAGAGGCATGTGCGACACTCTGCAAATAGTACAGTTTCAATATTAAAAGTACTGAAGTAGTTAAATGCATTTTTGTACATTTTTTGTTTTGCGTATTAAAAATGTGTAAAAGTTCAAATAGAATTGGTTAGTTCTTACTAGTGCCAAAATCTAGACACATCAAATATATTTTATAGAGTATTCTGTAAAATGAATTCAGAGAACTGTATTGTAGAAATCTGCTGGGGAGTGTCGTCCCCCTCAATTACAGGCACAATACAGCATCCTTTCTAAAAAATAACAAAATAACTTCTAGTTTCTGAGGGATGCTGTACTGACTCCATGCCCCAGAATGGAGCTGGGAACAACTTACTTGGAGCTCGTTACTTGTAAAAAACGTAGCAGAGGAATGTAGATTTGCTGGTGTCTGTCAAGTGACAGCAAAGCTAAAGGCAAGACCAGGATTTTGATCAACAGAGGAAGTTACTCCTGGCTTTAGGACAGTAAAGGAGAAGAGAGAGGGAACTCTACTGGGAATGGGAAAATCAAATGTGAACTATAACGCGACTGACTGTGCAGGAGGCATTTAATTTAAATGAAATGAAGAAAACTGTATTTGACCTTTTTGCTTCCCCTGCTGAAATATTTTAGCAAGGTATTCGACACGAGTGTTGCCAATCATTACCGTGATCCACAGCCACACACATCTTGTGTTTCCGGAAAGACCCACAGGATCTGTGTGTACGTGCAGAGGGTGCTAGTGCTGTGTCCTAAACACTGCTTACTCATGACACCTGCCTTGCCCCAGTAGCCTTCCTGAAAGTAGGTGAGAATGAGGCTCCTTTTGCTTTGTATCATCCTGCTCTGCGCTGCCATTTTCAAAACTGTTCATTTAAATTATATTAGTTTTCTGCATCAGTCAGGAGTAAAAAATGCCCTGGCAAATCTGAGAGCCCTCCAGTCTCCATAGTCAATCCAGCCAGCCACCTCTTGGAAAAATGAGCACTAACTGGCTATATTTTTAGCAAATACCTGGTTTCCTTTGCTGCAGTTATCCAAATGCAGATGTGAGAAGGACCCAGTCATAGCATTTTCTCAGCCAGATGGGTATTAGGACAAAGCAACAAGAGATCCTGGCTGGCCCAGGAATCTTGATTTGAGGAGGTCTATTGCTACTGCTGAGTTCCCCAGAAGGAGCTGAGGCCTTGCCCTGTCAGTAAACCCTACTGTGAAGAGCTCTCCCATCTGTCCTACAGTGGCCAGCACCAGAACACAGCCACTCAGTGGCCCAAGAGCTGGCTTTCCCTCCCTTCACATCCTGTGTGAAGGCTGAGGTACCCAGGTGAAGGAGCAGCCTTCCCAGTCCTACACAACCCTTTCACATTTCTCATAACCTCCCCACAACCCTCATCCCATTTTCAAATTCTGTCCTTTTTTCTACCAGCACCAACACCTCTATTACCACAGTCTGTGAGGGCCCCAACTGTCTCTTTTAGCACAGAAGTATCACTTGCTGTTTCTTGCAATGACCAGAGCTGACAGTCCCCCGAAGGCACAAAGGAGTGCATCAGCTGTGAGAAAGAACAGCAGTAGGAAAAGGCAAGTTTTAGAAACACAAATGAGGAAGGAGAGGAAATCACCAGCAGGACTTGTTCAGTATGTGTTGGCAGTCTCTTATTTGGAAGTTGCTTTCTTTGAGTTATTGAACCTGTAATCTCACAGCCCAGTTTCAACCATCAAGAAGTTATTCACATTAGTCTCCATTTTCTTCTGTTTATATTCCACCTCATGACTCCACTCCATGCCTGAACAATTCTGACCCTCTCCCTGGCCTCACCACCCACACATTTTGAGTAACTGTTGACTGCTAACTTCTGACTCACTGCCTGGTCAGCCTGTTCACTCTGTGTTCAGCTATTTCATCTCAAGGCACTATCCACAGATAAAAATATTTTATAGAACTCCACCAGGGCTAATTTAAAAATAGCAGATGTAACTGATACTTGTTTTAGTTTCCTCCAGCGAAATTAGAGACATGCCATGTTTACTCAACAAAAGTGTAAGGGTTGAAGGACCATATTCCAGTAGATGTCTGTCTCACGAAGGTTCACAGGCCTCTGCTTCTTCTCCAGCCTCAGCACCTTCCTCATCCTCCTTGCTATTTGTCTGAGCCTTCTGCAAAAGTCTGGGCCCTGCCAAGCCAATAACCAGGGCTCCAATTGGAGCAGTAATCAAGATAGCCAAGAAAGCTACTGTCAGTACATCCATTCCATACTTTTCCAGTTGCTCATCTTGATGTCTTCTTGCTGTATCCAGGGCAAGAGAACCTATTGCAGCCTGCAGGGAAGAAAACATTGCTGAGATGGAAAAAAATAACCTTTAGCACTTAAAGAGGAAAAGAAGAGACCAATCATCAGTCAACATTTCATGTAACTTTGACATATTTAGTACATTCAATCCATTAGTTTCTAGGCAGTACATAGAAAAGTAAATATTATATTACACCTATGAGTACAATTTCCACTTGGCTACATTTTGAATTCCCTAAGCTGATGGGTTTATCTGGATGGTTTACCCCAATGAAGAACATTGCTTAGCTGCTATCTCATCCACATCTGGAGAATGTGTGATTAATGAAATGGGTCAGTATATTGCATATTGCAGCTGTTGAAATGCCACCCTTTGACAGTAGTCAACTAGTAGTGGCTTCTTAAAATTTGTTCACTAATCTTGCAATAATCCTTGCTTGTTTTGATTATTAACTTTTGTTTGCAAGTAATCATGTTATTGAGGCAAAGTCTAAATGACTTAATGATCACTGAAATAAAGGAGCAGGAATGCAGCCAGCCTGAGGCATCTCTAGTAATATGGCTCTCGCAGACTGCGCCTTACCAAAATGACCACAAACTGATACCTATTCTGAGTCTCTGATGCGACTGTCCCTGCAGACATTTCATGTCTGCTTCTGCCTGTTTTTGAGAGTTCTCATAATCTTTATGTAGAGGCACAATAATCTGCAATGGCTGGGAAATAGTTTAACTTCCTATGACTTATCTACACTTCACTGTCATTATTAAGAGTACAATCCAGGATGCAAGCAAAACACCATCACACAGAAGGTTCTCCATGTACTTTTCAAGCAGACTTAGGGTGGTTTAGAATATGAACTGTCAATATACTACACTCTGGTGTCACTGAGCCTGAACCTTTCCCTGTTTACTGCTGTGCTAGTTACAGGGAACTTTGCTAAGGACAATAGATTTAGGAATGAAAGTGATGTTGGACTGCTTACCTGGACAGTGGCTTTGGGCATCCATGCCAGTGAGACAAATACTTTCTCCTTGAAATTAAACCCAGTGAAAGACACCATGAGGAATGTTGTTATGATTCGCACAACTAGGGCAATGCCTAATATAGCAACACAGAACCCTGCAACAAAGACAAACACTTCTTTGAGTCCTTTTGTGCATAGGTGCCTGAGGGAAGTAAGGCTCCTAAAACTGTAGCTTTACAGTGGGGGTGTGTTTTGGGGTTTTTTTTGGGTCAGTCATAGTCTGCTTTGCTTTAGATTTCTGTATAGAGAATCTTTTGAAGGCAGTAATGAAAGCTGGATAATTTGTGAATGATCTTACCAACAGTTTCAGGCCTAAGAGATGTAACAGATACTTCTGCTCCAATTAAACCAAAAAGAAAAGGTTGGAAGATATTCCATGCAACTGCCACAATTTTTTCTACGTCCCTCTGCAATGAAAACAAAACCGATCTGTAAATTCAGAAAAGACAGCCAAGTAGACACAACATTTAATTAATCATAGAACAAAGTGAAAATGTATGTTAAGATGTCCAGAATTGCTCCTCCTTTTTTGAGATAATACTAAAAGATTCAAAATCAGTTGCACACCTTTCGAAGGGTGCAGACTGTGTCTAGCTCTGCTAGTAAATAAATGTTTGATATCTCAAGAAGAGAAATAATCACTGGTGTTTGAACAATAACAGAGCAGTTTTCAGAGAGGAGGAAAATAGAGCATTGTTGATTTTCAGTATTTAGGAAGATGTAATTTCAGCAGCTTTGGCATGAAGTTTCTGAGCCCCTGGAAACTGGCATGCTTAAACATGTTCTTCTGTTTGTATCTGAGTGCAGTCAGACTCTCAAAAGTTTCAGCCATGATCTAGCTCTGCTCGTGCTGCACTCAGTCAGAGGCCTCTCTCCATGTCAGCAGGGGCAAAGTTACAGAATCACAGAATATGCTGAGTTGGAAGGGACCCCCAGGGATCACCGAGTCCAACTCCTGGCCCTGCACAGCACCATCCCCAAGAGTCACACCATGTGCCTCAGAGTATTAGGCTGAGCAAGTCTGAAATCACATACCAATAACAAGTGCTGAACTTTCCAGTGCAATATACTGTATAAAGGCAAAACCATCTTTTCTCCTTGTGTTTGAACTTTACACCTAACAATTTTCCTAAAATAACTGCTGCCAGGATAAACAGAAATCTTCCACTTATAGGAAAAGGTACACATAGCATGTTGAATAGCACTCCTCTTTTAATTGTGTTCTACAATAGCAAATGAACCTTCGGGCTGGAGTGTGTGGAAAATATAAGTGCTGTTCTTTGTCACTTAATAACCAATCCAAGGCCTAGAGATGTCCCATCCTTGGTGTTCTCTCTGGGACTGATTCTGCAACACCTCTTGCTCTTCAGTCAATGGAATGGTAGGTTATTGTAATACAAAAACTTCTGTAACCTTACAGAGATTCAGGTGGAAATATACAGACTTCTAAACATTATTTGCCTCGTTTCTCCTTGTTCTCTCACCCTTCTAATTTTTAGCAAAAAAAAAAATAAATTCCTCTATAGATTTCAGCCTGTTTACTACCCATTTTACTGTTCCAGCAATAGGTACAATGTTCATTGTTCTCTGTGGACAGTGTCTGCCAAGTGACTTCCACTATGGACAGTGGGAGGCAGTGGCCTTTGAGAAGCTCAGCAGGGAGCTTCTGGATAATATACTGAGTATACAGTATGCAGACATCTCTGGCTGTATCTGCTGAAAAAGACCTAAGGCATTTGACATCAATATACTTAAGGCCAAGAAGCTTCATTCACAGATCAAAAGAAGTTTAACTAAACCTTTATAGATGGCATATACTCTTTTAAGGTCCTTCTTCTGAAATGAGCTTTTAAAATAGAGAACTTTATTAGTTGCAATGTCCTTAACTAGTTCAGTCCCAAGAAGAGTTTTTCATCCTTTAAAATTGGACAATCATAGCTTCTCTTTCACTGTTTTAACAAACCTTGAGATCTTAGTAAAGTCAGGGTCTAGATCAGGATAATAACATGGACTCTGCTCTATCTGACCCCCTTTCCTTTCTCTTTTCCTACTGCATATTGCAAAGCTACAGCTGTGGAAAGATGCCCTCAAAACATTACATGTAAGATGGTATCAAGCAAAAGAGGCAGTGAGACATACCAAGGTACAGAAATGCAGTGGGGCAGCAACAGTAAGAGGAAGTAGGCTTAGCAGCTAAGAGAAGGTGACTAGAAAGCAGTCTTTTGTATGGTTTTTGTATGGCCTTATATCACCAGTTATTGTGTACACCCTGCTCTCTAAGTTATCCAAATTACACTGGCTGGGATTTGGCAAAGATGAGAGAATGGCTAATTACTGTTTTTCATTTCACCCCCCAAACTCACAGAGAACAAAACCTCAGGGTATTCAGGCCATATGCACAACTATATTTTGGACACCTGTTTGTAAATTTTACCATAAAGTGACTGTGTAAGGTTACAGACACTCACAGAGCTGGGGCATAAAGCTTTTGATTCCTAGTAAAGTGCCTTCACTACTAGGTCTCCTTTACATAGCTTAAGATGTCTAAGAAAAGCTTGTGAGCATTTCTCTGTCAGTAGGCCAGGCTCTGTATCAATATCTACTCACATACCAGGTGTCATGGTAAAGACAGACAAAGACTTCCAAAATAAATGTAAAATGTGCTGGTTGTTTTAGTTTTTGGGTTTTTTTTTCAAATCTGTACACCCTCTAAAGCTTCACAAATACACCAGTACCAGTCCTGACAGAAATTCAAACTCTCGTCAGGCTGTATGTTCAACAGAGTTTGGATATGGTACGCTTCTTATGTAAGCATTCACCTTTTCATCAGACCATCCCACACCTGCAACAAAGGCTAAGACTAATGTGCAGAGTCCTCCCGATCCAGGGAAGCCAAAGTAGATGCTGCCAAAAACAGCAAACATGGACAATCCAAGTGCAAAATATGATCTCTTCCATGCCAGAGATGCCTGCAGCCAAGGAAAGAGACAAACAAAAAAAGCAACTTTCTTTAAGAAATGGAGGAAAAAAGGTACTTCTTCTAATTTTGAAAATAACAATTTGAAAAGAAAAATAAAAATTAACAATTTTGGAGGAATCAAAGCTTTCAAGTGAGACTTGAACTACTCATTTTGTTTGTGGGTTTTTTTTGACATTAATTCCTAAGAAATATAAATTTTGAAAATTTAGTATTTTCTTTCCTCTGCCCATCCAAAATCTTACTGCCAATAGGCTTTTTGTATCACAAGGAACGCAATGCAGTGTTCTAACAGCCCTTCTATCAATTCTGTGATAACAAGGTTTTCTACCTGTGCAGTCCAGTACTAAAACAGTTTATCCAACGAGAGGTGAAATCCTTGCCACCGCAAATTTTTAAGGACAAGTCAAACAAACATTTGCCAGGGACATTTTTATGTGATTCAGTCTCACAGCAGACAGTTATATCTCTACCATTGTTCCCCATTCCTATCTATCTGTTTAGCTCCTGTATCACACTTATGTTATTTAATAAGAAGAAAATTTGGTCCCACTGAGGGCAGTGGATGCTTTGCAAAGTGATTTCAGTAGTCCAAGAACATATGTACTTTCTTCCATAATTTTCTGTTCATTTAACTGCCCCTCAATAGTAAGTTCATCTACCACTTTCTATAAGATTAATTCTTATTGAAAGCAACACATTCTAATTAGCGCTAATGATATGCTCAATCACTTAAAGCCTCCAATATGTCTCCTTTATTAATTTTTAATCTTAGTCCTACTGGATACACCTTATAGGAATAAATATGTCACATTAATCTAATACATTATTATTTTACTGTCTGAAATGAGTATCAGACCCTTCCTCCTTTACATGTGGACATTTCCACTACCTTTAATGAGAGCAGGATGGTGAGCTGGGTTCCAAACTCTGCATCAGGAAGGACTATGAGATCATATATCATTATTGGTGCAGTGAACAAGTAATCACCTATAAAACACATTGTCACTTGATAGGCTTTGCAACCTGGAAGCTGTTAGCACTGTACACAGCTTTCCCAAATCACCCCATCATAAAGAACCTCTATCTTATAAAAAGTTTTTTTTACTGGGTTTTTACCTGATCATGGCTTGGGAAATATCGAATAAACATTCCCAGAATCCCCCCAGCTGCTATGCCAACAGCAACTTCCAGCACTCCACGGAGCACATTGTACAGAGTAGAACCTATTTGGCAAACAAAAAATGTGTTCAGTAAGCCATACACAGACCCTTCACACACAAACCACACTGTAGGCCTATGAGGGTGATTCCAGGACAGCGTCTGTTTTAAATTACTTGGGGCAAAGGAGTTGAGGAGGGAACCTACGGGCCTGAAAGAACTGGATAGTGCAACTTTCTCTCTCTGAAAGCTCATGGCAAGAAAATGTGCAAGACAAGCCAGAGAAAGAGCCACTGCAAGAACTTTGCCAAACCCAGGGAAATTTGAAAGTGTTATGTTGGGCATGCAGGGACCAGACTTGGCAACCAAGAGAGCAGACAGGGAGAAATGTTGTCTGAAAGTTATTGTGACCCACAGCTCAGCAGACAATGTTACACCAAGACTTTTGAACAGGAGCAATTTCCATCTCAGTATTCAAGTCCATACATGAACTTTATAAGGAGATGTCATTAAGTTACAAACCAGTCGGTCATAACAGAGCACATGTTCTTCAAAATATCACTGTTTGTTCTGGATTTCGCCATGTACAGATTAACCAGCATACCGGAGGAGAAAGCTATTCCAAGGCAAGTGTTGAAGCCTGTGATAGCCAGAATGTCATCAATGCTGCCAGCTGCCATTAGCAAAGTTGGGACACCTTTCTCCACTCCATATCCCCCAGCTTGTAAAATCAGCATTGAGGGAACCACCACAGCAGGGGAGACTGCACCTATAACAAAACTGAAAACACATAGGTTCAGGCTCTGTTAAAAAGAAAGCACTGAAATAAAAAACTTAAAATGTTCTGACCCTGTGGTCAAATTCTTTTGAAGTGTAAAAAACCAGACCCTTAGGGATATTTCTATGCAGATTGCAATCAGCTCTTACTTTCTGCCCAACTCAATAGTATTAAAAGGGCTCCAGACTGAAAAGTGAGTCTACACTGCAGGCCAGTTATGCTCCCCTGATAGATACTTTCATTGTTCCATTTAGGAACCTGGTCTAGACATGCTTATGAGTCAGTAGCCCAGTTCCTTCTCACAAAATTAAGTGTGTGGCACAGGAGGAGTTCACCCATCTTGCTCCAGTATATGGGTCTGGACTATGTCCACCAATTTAGATAGAACTAGATGGAAAATATTTTCTCTTCAAGGATATTACTCCAGAATATACCACGCCATATCCTTATCCTGCAACTTGTGATAGGAAGACTGTCCTATGTGCATCTCTCTTGGGGGAAATACTGATTTCCAGTATGAAGATTCTCTAAGTTGTGGTATAATTTTCTGTCCCTAAAAGCCCCCTGTGTTGTGGTTAAAGACTCAGGGATTGCACCATCTTTCTTCAAGTGCTCAGATCACAAACAAAGAAGAGTAATGATGCAAACACTCCTCCACAGCCTGGAAATATGACCTTTAAATCAGCCACAGAGCCAGACATGAATGGAAGCGAACGACCACAGGGGCTAAGCACAGCTTCCTAACTGACATTGAACTGAGGTCTCTGCTTGGCCTAGAGAACTAACCACACTTGGATCATTTAACTGCACCATGAAAACAGGCACCTCTGTCATACAGGAGAGGAGAAGATACATTACCCTAATATAAATCCCCACTGCCATGGCAAATGCAGGAGAAAGTAGGCAAGAACAGCAGCTGTGCATGTTTCTGAGAGGCACGGTCCAAAAGCAAGCCGTAAACAGACAGCTTTGAGCTTCTTAAGAGCCTGCAACAATACAAGCACATCAGTGTCTGTACCCTTGGCTTTATAGAGAGGAAATACAGTTACAATCTGATCTGGTTTATTAAGAGTCCTGTCTGAGTTGCACTATAGGATGTCACATGGCCTAAGCTGGAGATAGACTCAAGCACAACGGGATTTGTGTATAAAATTTCACGTGTGGCAGTGAATCTAGGTTTGACAAGGTTCCTGCATGTCTCAGGAAGGAGTAGCAAAAAATGGCTTCTTGTGCAAAGCAAACTAAATGTGAGAGGCTGGACTAGCTGGGAAGCATTTGAAAAGTGTACCCTCAACACTGCTGACTTACCCACACTGACTTTGCTCCACCCACAAAAGATTTTGCTATAATCCCAGAAGTTGCATAAGCACCCACAAAAATCTAAGAAAAAAATCATGAAAAATCATGAAAAGTTGTAGAACTACATAACTTTGGCACAAGGAGCCATGCATCTCTTTCAGCTGTCTCTCACTGGATATCCTGAGCAGATTAAGTTCCTTTTGTCTCAGTTACTTTTTTAAAAAAATTTTCTCACAGCTGTCTTTAATAGTCAGTCACAAACGTTACTCTGCTAGGACAGGTTCCTAATTTTGACATGGAATAAACAAAAAAAAATTAATGAGTTCCCCTTTTCACCAGTCCAGTTTATCCCAGCATAATCAGGGCTGAGCAGATCTACTGACATCTTTGTCTTTACAGCCTCAATTACATGAGGAACAATTGTAACTGCATCAAAGCACTGCCACATACAGAGTCAAAATGACAGTTTTGATTGCTACACGGAAAAAAATGAGTCAAAGATGAAGTTTCCTCAGTACAAAAAGTTGACATGAAGTAGAAAGAAGTGCACTCTCACAGAAGTGGGCATGCAAGCTGTGTCTAACAACACACAGTTCACGCTCATACGAGCTTCAATGTCTTGGAAAAAATACGATGACAATCTAGGAAACCAACCAGATGGTTTTCAATATTGAAAAAACCTTATTTTGCTAAATATCTGAAGCATTGGCAACTCTCTAGATTTTCTTGGTTAAGAAAAATCAGTTTAGATGTTCTCAATTACCTATATTTTACCTTAAATTTTATATAAACTCTTAAGTGGTTCCTTAAATAGGCAGGGACTAATATGCTACAGCTTTACTTCAGCCAGCTGGTTTTGAATGAGCAAAACCTTGCCTTCATTATTTATGGACCATCACACTTTAGAGTGTGCAGAGGAAGACTATTTTTTGTTCACCAGACTGTTATGGGCTTCACGGTGATGTGAGTCATTGTTTCTGTAGTGCAGTAGGACTCATCTTTGCAATTAATGCAATTAATTAAAATGGTAGTCATTAAAAAAAAAGCCAGAAAAGTCATACAGGTTTACATTTTTTTTGGTTGTGTGAGTTTTTTGGGTTTCTGTCCACACAGGAACATTCTCTTTCAAGGACTGGGGATCCCTTCCATTCCTTGCTTTAGTTTGTCAGTGTAAACTAACAGGGAGTTTGTCTGGGAGTGTAAACTCTTCCTGACAGTCCATGACAGAGCACACATCCTCAAGATGTTTACAAAATTTAGGAAATTTCTTTAGGGCAAGGGGGAAAATAGTTATAAAATCAGTTTTCTTCAGATATTTTTTGGACTGCTTGCCTACTCTACAAATTCAACTGTCAATATTAACATACATATAAGCTACGTTTATATATATATATATATATATATATATACACAATATAAGCTATGCTTTCTGTAACGATCAAATTTGCAGATTCTCCAAGACTGAACAGTTCAATATTTTTAACAGAGCCAGTTATTCAATTTTTTTGAGAGCTGCTGTATACTTTCCCTCACACAAATGGCTGGTGCCATACCTTTGGATCCAGGCCGAGTCCTGCTCGGGTCAAGATAACTGAAAGAGCAATATTCCTCAGTGCTGCAGACCAGCGTAGGTTTATCTGGACAATGTCACTAATGAACGGAGTGTTTCGGATTAGGAAACCAGCAAGTAGCATCCCTTAAATGAAAGCAAATGAAAGCTCCTATAAATGATTTGGTTTTAATGCACGAGAAAAACCTGCATAGCATTCTTAAAAATAGACACCATATTATTTATTTACGAGAGGAAAAAGTAACAATTCATGTTCTGAATTATTAGACATGTTTTAACAATGGGACTGAGGCATGAAAAGAGAGAAACATATTTAAAGCAGTGAAAGTGGCCTAAGAAAATACAGGTCACCAATAAATCTGCAGGATGCTGACACAGTTTTAGTCTGAGTCAAGAGAATTTGGCTTTGTTCACCAGGTGCAGGTTGATTACTTACCATAAGCAAAGACACTCTTGCATCCTTAAAGATTTTTTTTCTTGTTAGCTTGTTTTAACATGAAAAGAGGAAGATCTTCTAATATTGTGTATTTATCTCAGAACTTGAAAATCGTTAAAATCGTTAAAAATCCTCTTAGGTGTAAGAAATGCAGGTCACAAGAACCATAATGCTGAGGTTGGGGAAATATAATCTAAAACAGCTAATCATGGACTAATGTAGACATTTTAAAGTGTTCTGGCAATATGACTCTTACACAAAGGGGAAAAAAGGGGACAGGAAAATCAGAAACTTGGTGTTATCCTCTATTTGAGCTACTTGCAAGATTCAACTTTTGCAAATATTAGTGAAACTATCCAATCAGAGAATTCTTGCAACTGTGGCTCTGGAAGGATATGGAAAAGTACAGGAGAAGTTGACTATAGATATAGATCTGCAGAGATTCATTGTAAATCTTGATGATTCATTTTTGTGGCATAATGTTGTATTAGTCAAGTTTAGAAACAGGAAACCGAAAAAAGACAAAAAGTAAATAATCATTGTGCTCAGGTTGCTCCCTGCTTGGTGTGAGCCTCAACTGTGGACTTGATTTGTCCTGCAACACTCTGAACACTGCTTTTCCTAACACCTCCTGGAAAAAAAGCATGGCATAATTAATTTGCAGTACCTCATGAGAATTATATAAGGGTAGTATAATGATCATATGCTCTTTGCAATGTTTGCCTGAGGTCCGAGTCACCAGAACTACCCTGATCTAGAAAGCTACTTAACAAAGCAAAAGTCTCCACCTCAAAGGGTATCTTCACTGTTCTGCTCCATGTCGCCTGCTGCAGAAACCTCTCTGCAATGTGTACCTAAAATATACTATGTGGTTGTTTCAGTACCAATTTCACTCCTTTTTTCCTGAAATAGAGGCTCACTATAAGGTGCTTAAGTGCTTAGCCAGCTACATTACACTCTATTGCATCTAGCACAAGTGGGTTAAACATATGTAAGAGTACCAGATTTGCATTTTTAATGTAAAAACAATATTCAAAGACATTGTCTATCTCTTCTTCTGACTTCTCCAATTTTTCTCAAGACTGGGGATCAGAACAATGAACTCGGTGCTAAACAATTCAACAAACATGTGCAGTCACGCTTAAGTTTCTGTTGTCCAGTATTACCTGTCTGACAAGCACTTTCATGCTCAACTCATAACTTTTAGATACAGACGTAATTAAAAAAAACCCAAACAAACAGAATCCAAATGGTCAGAAACATTTTTATTTGTTTAAGGGGGGTGTTTACTTTAGAAAGGGGGACTCCCTGCGTGTGACATCCTGTGTTCATATTATTGCAGGCATGCATGTTCTATGCAAAACTTCCCTCCCTCTCATTTGAATTTTTTCTTGCTGGTGAAACTAAGCAGTGCAAGAACGTGCACGGAGATGTGTACAGAACAACTGTCTGAGGCACACCACCAGCTGTGCAGGTTACAAAGTCACACCTGTGCACTACAGGCAGGTATCTGTAAGCCCACTCTGCCATGAAGTATTACTGTCTGTCAACAGCTTTACTCATTTATGCAGTAAGCATAGCAAGGAGACAGCATACAGCTGGTGAGAAGAACCTGGAGCTTCATTTTCCAGCTTCACTGACATCACAGCACTTCACAATATTGTACTGATATAAACAAAACTGAAACATCCTCTAGGAAAGAAGTCTGAAAACATTCTGAAGATGTTATTTTCATCTCCCATTTCTATTTTGCCTTTCTATGTAAAATAAAATAGAATGATGTGAAAAACAATCTTATGATTGATTCCGAATAAATCTCTTCAGAAGAACTATTCTTTGTGGTGAATTTATTTCCTCATGTTTCAGTTATCTTGAAATAAAGGAAGAGGCAAAAAGAAATTTTTCAGACTACTAGTAGTGGTGGATTCCTATAACGATTTCTTTGGAAAACATTTTCATTGTGGAAGAAACTAATGAAACAGCTCAGCAATAGTTTTGCTATGAATTTATTATTCTACTATAACAGGAGGTCTGGATTAAGATTCCTGTTTGGTGTTATTAAACCCAAATTTTAAGTAACTGTGACAGAGGAGACTGGAGGACAATAAGCTCTGAATTTGTAGGTATACAGTTCTCTGACCCCCAAATAATTACGAGGAGAACCTCAGTAACAATTTCACCTGAGCCAGTTTCGGGAATTTTGCACCCTCTTGAAGAGGACCAAAAACGTCACTTGGAAAAGGAAGAGATTTGGAGCGTGACACATTTTGCTTGTTCCCAATTCAAACAGGCCTAGCCTGCAGATACTGCTTGGTGGTTTAAACAACACAAAATATGCAGGAAGAAAAGAAGGAAGGATATCTTACCCAGAAGAGCAGGGAGAGGGGGTAGGGTTCGTATTTTGATGAATCCAAAAATTTTACCTCCAATGACAGCAAAAAAATAAAGAAATAGAATTCCAAACAGATTTCCACCTGGGAGACACTCAGCCCCAGTTATGGACCAAACCACAGCCCAAACCAGGACCACGACTGCAACTGGAACGAAACAAAAAATATTCATATTTAATAATCTCTCAGGAACAACTTTGCTGTTGGATCACATTTGTTTTTCTCCTGAAGAAAAATGTTACTGTGACTTTCAGAAATAAAATTACTTACCTTAAAAATTAGTTTAATCATAACAATGCATTTAATCTTTGATGGTCTCTAAACTGATGTTCTGATTTTATAGATGCTAAGATACTTTAAAAAATGGTAACAGGAACATCATTAGAGATCAAAATGTTCTGAGTGAGCCTTTGGCCACCGTGGAAGGCATTTCACAGTTTCCAAATTTAAAGCAAAGACTTTCACTAACTTATTTTGCATTTGCTTATCTTCCTTCAGCTACTTCAGAACCACAGTAAAATCTGCTGCTGAACAGCCTGGCATATCTTCAAGCTCATGACTGCAGCTCCAGCCTAATTTTTAAAAGAATTGAAGTATAATTTTTAGGCTGGATCTGCTTGTACAATACATTGTTATCCTTGGGAAAAACATTCTGAAGAAGGTCATATCTCTGGACAGCCTGAAGGAGTACAGACACTTCCCTTGATACAACAATCAAAGGGGAATAATATACAAGGAAAAAGAAATCCTGAAAAATATTATGAGAACAGTAAGTGAAAATATGCTCTTTGCCGGTTCACAAATCTGTTCCTGCAGTTGTCCAACAAGAACAGCTATGCATAGATATAAAAGCAGAAGACTGAAGGAGAGGAAAAAATGTGTTGAATAAATCCCTCTTCTCATGATCATAGGAAAGTATATTGCATTTTCAGATTGGATTTTTCTTAATCTTATTTGAGGGTGACAGGTGTCAAAAGGGAAAATCAGTAGATTTCCAAACATAAAAGCCAAAGAATCCCAAGTGAGGGTGAATGGAGGCTGTGGAAACAGTCAAAGCCACAGGATGTGTCTTTTGTCAGGAAAAAGCTTAAATAACTTATTAGCCAGGCATCTCTTCTTTGAACTTTCAGTTTAGGACAAATCTTAAACAAAATGGGTCAGTTTGCCTTGTAGTTAGGATTCTTGGCTTCGCAAGCCTGGGGTATTAAGGAACAAAAGAAGGTATCACTGCCAAGTCTTATATTTATTACCTTAATTAAAAAGAAAGCCATCCAGTATGCCAAATATACCATTGTGTTCAGAATCACCTTAATGCTCTCAATACCAAAACAAAATATCAAGACAAAACCTAGGAGGTCTTTCTTCTGATGAAAACAGTTTGCAGTGCAAAAACATACCTACCATGATAAACAGGTAAGAGAGAGTGGAAAAACAAAAACTGTACATTCAAATCTTTGTTTTACTTCTTTTGTTCTGCTAAAACATTAACACAAAAGTGTGATAAGTAAAACACAACTGTTTCCCTTCACTTTTTTAAAGGATAAAGGGACAGATATCATCCCATTCAGGGAAACAAATACTTCATTTGCCATTTCTCATTTTAATTAAACTCTGTCTTTCTTACATACCATTTGTCACTGTTTGGGCCAGTAAACCCTGAGGAGGACAAGCAAATATTTGCCTCCATGTTCTTGAAGACCCTGCTATTGGTTCTGGAGGTTGCTGAGCACAGTGGTTCAAGAGAGCAGTTTCTTCTGTTTGTGTATTCCCATCGGTACCTTTGGCATCTGCTGTTGGTCCCTGCTGAATGAAAACAAGGAGACTCTCTCAGAGGTGGCACTGCATATATTTGAAGTAGTGTACAAGACCTGAAGTCAGGTGGGATGCACTAGAGCCACACTGGCTACAAATGACTATATTAACTAAACAACCACATCCAGCTTTGTAGTTTGGTGTTTTTGGTTATGTGTTTGTTTTTTCCATGGCACAAAGAACTGCATGGGAGAGACGGCAGGTCATTTGCCTTTTTATCTGCAACTGAGAGGACTCCTGTCCCAGTACAAATAGCACCTGTGCAGCAATAGTATCTGCATATTTGATGAAGAAACAATAATAACAAGCCAGGCTCAGCTTGTCTTGTATACAAACTAAATATTTATTAATATTTTCTACAATTTGATAGGGTTCTGCTTCCAGACTGGATTTCACAATAAAGTTAACAATTAGCATAATTCCAGTGAGACAGTGTCTTTAATGTATCTGCTAAATAACTCCTGTTGCAAAGCCTTGAACAAAAATAACAGAACAAATATGAAAGAAACAGAACAGCTGGCCAGTGCAAGCATTACTCACATGATCCATTGCTGGAAGGCTCAAGCTGCTAAGTCAAAGTAGAGATGGAGAAATACTACCCTGGGAGTTATTCCCTTGAAGAATGATTCCTTGAAACTGTTCTTTTATACTGATACATCTACTTATCCATATTCATAGCCAAAGCACTTTTTGACCATTTTTGGTTATGTGTCTCACTTCATTTTAGCGTCTTTATTTTTGACAAGTTAATCATCTACCTTCCCTTATGATTATTCACCTTCATGTCAGCTCATTGTCATAGTGTAGACATGGAGTTCTGCCTCTCATGTAGCCCTCCCCCACTAATACTTCCACATTCCTGATTATTTATGTCTCATCCCTCTCTCTCTCTCTACATATATAAATTCCTTACTCAGAGTCACAACTGGAACACAAATCTTGTGAGCTTTCAGCATGGAATTACTTATTTATCTACCCTGTGATTCCGTGATCGCCATATGCATATAATCACTGTGTGCATAAAGATACAGCAGTTACCTTTATACTCAATACCATAGGCTTACTTTTAAGTGCATTTTATGTTAAGAATTTTATTTGTACTTGCATTTACTTCCAAGTCTTTTTTAAAGACACAGACATTTCCAATAATACTGGAAATAGGCAGAGAAGCTTAAAAGCGTGGGCTTTTTAAATTTTTATTAGATAAGAAAAGGAAGATAGATATGCATTAACAACTTTCAGCAAATGGACTGATAAGTGCAATTTGAAAGCAAAGAAGTAATCGTCAGGCCACATAATTTTCTTCCAAAAAATGTATGCTGATGTATTTTACACCTCAAACTGAAACTGCAACCACTGATTTCCAGGAATCCAACATACTGCAGACTGTACAAACTGAACACGCGTTAATTATAAAAAATTCCCACCGAGGAGATTTCTATGTGCATTCTCTTCAGATTCAGGGATTTTAACAATATGGGAAGAAAAAGGAAAGGAAAAGGAGGGTTCCTTCTGACTAGAATTGCAGTTAGAGATCTTAGTTAATTACCTCACTTTGCTCATGCATAAGAATCATGCCATTTCGCTCACATACTGATGGCTCAGAATCTTCACTGTTATTTACATCTTCCTTTACCATTGTTGCAAACCTAAGGAAAGCAACAAAGATGGAAAAGTTAGAGAGACATAAATAACGCTGTTTTCCAAATGGAACACTTCTCAGTGTTGTCTTTTTCCCATAGCTCAGGTGAAAAAACCCTCACACCCCAATTCCAGATTTAATGGGTTTTGCATGCGCCTGTATGCTGTATGTAAGAACAAGAGACAGAAACTAACGGAAGAACAGTATTAAGCTTACAAAGACAAGCAATAAAAAAATAAAATAAAATCCCCTGAGTTTTATGATCACAATGATCTGTGCTAACCTGCTCATTCCTCTTTAAATGTATGGCTGCAACATATATATATAAAATCTATCTATCTATCTATCTATATCTATTTATCTATCTATATCTATTTGTGCCTTTTACCAGCACAAAGATAAAGGTTATTTGCTGTCAACACCACTTAGGAGGACCGCTAGTTCTGAAAGTGTCACAGGCCCTGTGTGCATGGCAGCACAAGCACCCATTAAATAAACTTAGAACAACAACTATAGTTTCTAAAGCTCCAGGGGATTTCTAAAGTTTCATGAGGGGACACTTTTCTTCTAACTTAAGCCTGACCAGATCCAGGTTGATTTTCAGGGGAATTTTCAAGAGCATAGCTCTGTTAGATGCCACTAGTCACAATATATTGACTGAATATATAAGAGAAGATGCCTTTGAGTCTATGAGTAAAGATCAAGACTATTCACAGCTTGCAGTCTGTATTCAGGTTAGGCTGATAAAACACGTCTCTTTTTAACTGCTTATATTCCACGGATATACATCTTAGAGTGGGAAATAAGGTCCAAGCTATTTGTATTTGCTCAGTCTAACTGGTCCACTTCTTGTCCCATAGATTCTAACAGGACATATGGCAGTGCACTGTTTTGTATGTCAGATTTTTTTTTTGTGCAAACATTTACTGTAGTTTCACAAGTCTGAGCCAGCAAGAGTTGCACGAGCCTGAAGACAAGGCTTGCTAGTGTTCTTTGTAACAGCAAAGCTGTGCATATATTCTCCATCAGCTAAATTTCTTGAAGTCTTTTACATTGCTCTGACCATATAAAACACCAGTGAAGTTAAGCCAGAACTTTTGAGCCAAGAAATTCCTTCCTTGCTAAATTGTTGGAAGTCAGAGCTGATTCTCACAATTATCAAGCCTTCAGTTTATAATGAAATATCTGATATTTAGGAATGATGATGCCATAAACAAAGACAGGGGCCATTGTAACACCAGGGTAGTTTGAGCAGTTCTGATAAGAAACTGGTTTGAGGCTTGGCAAAGGCAAACACTTTCAGTGTGTTCTAAGGTAAGAGTTTTGCTTTCTTTCCTGTTTAAATGTAAACTGTTAAGTCTACTCAAATTCCAATACTTTTCTATATTTTTAATTACTACTCATGGAACCAAATAGCTGTGTTCTTAGAGTTCTTTAATGACATCAGTGATACTTTTGGTTTGGTTTTTTTTTTCATCCCTTCATTGGGTCTGGGAATCCACAAATGCCAGTTGTACTAACTGGAATAGAAAGTTATCAGCAACTTACCAGTGCCTCCCTCCTTCCCTTCACTGACCTCTTTCCCAATATTTCTGTACTTAATTTTGTACTTCTGAAAAGGGCGTGTGTGGGTAAGAGACAGAAACTGGGCAACATCCCAGTTCACGGGGTCATGTAGTTGTTAACACAAAATACATTAACACTTCTGAGAAAGGCAGGCCCACCTTGCCACAGCTTCAGCTCCTGGATGCGTGGTTCACAGCAGCATGTGAAAGAAAGGACTGACTTAGCAGGGAGATGAATGTTCTGCTTAACAGGAATGGTTTCCAGGTGTGAACGAGAAATCTAATAGTGTATGTGCTGTCCTTATCTGTTTTGTGACAGGTCTTCACCCTGTTAGCAAGATCAAGAACCCACTTCTAAGCAACGTCCAGTTGGATCAATGGGACCACAGTGAGTGGTTAGTGTACTTACATCAGGGAGGGTCAGTCTTCTGGGGGTTCACTGTAATTTTTTTTCCCGGGGAGGAGGTGTTGTTTTGTTTTTTAAACTTCACCCCGTATTCAAACAAAATCAAGTGATTGAGAAATCACAGAGTGGAATTCATACCACAGGGTTAAGGCCTGTCCCATGGAAATCAGCCAATAACAGATTTATTTTAGTACCTCCCTGGAAAACACACTTTCCTTATTTTGAAACCAGAGAGGTTTTCATTAGATCCTATCATTTTACTTGTTTTTAATGGGTAAGGAGGAGGAAAGAGAGGGACAGCTGACGGACAGGGACAGCACGAGCATGCCTATCGCATTAGCTGTGTTGGCTTGGTGACTCTTTACGTTCTGCTTTGCACACAGACGGTACAGAAAGGAATACAAATAAAATACCACAAGCATCGCTAGAGCAACTGGCATTCAGAATAAACTATTAAAAACCCAAACAACCTAAACCACGCATCACATCCACAAAAAGACGCTAAGGAAACCCCGGTGCAGCCTCCCGCCTGCCAAGCCAGCCAGCAGTGCCCGGCAGTCACCCCTCCTGCTGCCTCCAGCTGCAGGGAATGGGGTGCAACGGTACAGAAGGCCAGAAAACTCACCCGGGGAACAGCAGGGACCAGAGCGAGGGAACCGCTCCCTGCGAGGACGGAGAGGCGACAACGTGGTCCCGGCTCGCTGCAACAGCTCCTCTGTGACGGCTGCGGCTCCTCCTCCTCCCCCGCTGTTGCTGCTAGCGACGTAGTCCCTCCTCCAAAACCACAGCTTCACTTAGCCAGCAGTGAAAGCCTCCTGCTGGACCCTGGGATGCCCAAAAGGGCGTCCCGGATGCCTGAGTGAAGGGGTCGCAGGAGATGGGGGGCTGACCTGTCAGGTTGGTTTGAGCGATGGATCAGACCTGAGCCCATCCAAGGCTCAGAATACCTTATCAGGGCACCGAGGAGGAAGTACGTTTTTGTGTCTTTTCAGCCTTTGCTTCCCATGACGTTTATTGCATCCTGTACGCATGGAAAAGGCTTTCTGTGCTGCCTTTTCCGTGGCTGTGGGAAGATGGATGGGGAAGCTACACACAGTTCTCTAACTCAGACACTGCAGTTGGAGGTTTGTTGAAAGGAAAGGATAAAGGAACTCTTGCTGATTCTGCTCTGGGTTCATGCAGAAGAAATGTGCTGTGGCAGGCAGGAGAATTAAAAAAACCTTAAAAACCACCCCTTGCATATTATGGTGTTCCTAGCAAGATATTCCTGCTTCTTAAAGATGAAACAAGTGTGTCCACCTCATCTGTAAATGCTCATGAGGGAATGAAACAGAGTAACTTTCAACTCTGCTCTTAGTATCATCATGCAGAACTAAGCTGACTACAAATCCAAGAGAAAAAAAAAAAAAGCAGGTTTTTGATCAGAAAATAAATTTTCCAGAAGGGCTCTGAATCGGGGACATCTATTCCTCCCCTCCCCCACAAGAGAAAAGTTTGACCTAGAATCTATAAAGTCATAAAGCCTCTTTATATTATCATTGGAGTGGAAGGAAAACAAAGAGAATTACCCAGTTTCATTAAAAACAGACCAGGGAACTAAGAGGCCACAAGAGCATTAAGAAGCATTTTCCTTTAATAATTCCCGCAAGTCTGCTGAAAAACCCCATGACAGAAGAACACATTTCAGAATTGCAGCTGTTAACACATCCATGAAAAGCATTGCTAATAAGGCAAAAGACAGCAAGCTCTGCTGACTTTTATTTTTCTGCTGCACCAGATTCTTGGCGTACCACTAAAAAAGCCCTTGCAGGAGTGCTTTGACCAAAAAGAAAAAAAGAAGAAGCCGTTTTTGAGTAGCATCTGTATACTACAATCATCAGTAAGCTTACAAATGTTAAGTGATAGAGTTCAATATGCAATAAGTATAATGAAATTTCTCTCATTCTTAATTATATTTTCAGAATGCACGGTGCAATTTTCCTGTGTTACTGTAGTGGGGAAATTCTTTTCAAGGTAAGCCTTCTATGCCTACTACAGAAGCAGGACTTTGGCCTTCGTATTAAATCCTATAACCGTTGAAACAGTATCCTGCCAGCCTGAGCTTTTAACATTTGAATTTATGTCAGTGAACATTGATGGAGTCATTTTGGATAATTTTGGATTTCTGCCTCAGCCTGATCCTGGCTTGGCTGCCAGTGTCACTTGATTGAAATATTAGATTCTCTAAAACCCCATAAACAAACTACACAAGGCCAGAGTGTGCCAACTATGATTAAAGGTAAAGGTTAAACACAATGAGCTTGAGGATGCTAACAGACACAGTATTTTTCTCATTTGTGAAATTTACATTTACTTACAATTTTAAAATAAGTGGCCTGATTTTAGCTAGACATGTTCCATTATCTTTGAAATCTGGTAATTTATATTAATGCTTCAGCTAATATTGAAAAGCTTAAGCAATAATTTTATAAACATGGCAGTTGTTACAGAAACACACACAAAATATTTTACATTTTTTCCTGTGCTTTGATTACTGATGAATCATACTCAGAAGCATTTATTCTTTAATTCCTCCCTTACATATATATGTATTTGATGTATATGATTATATATATGAAATTATATATATTCATGACCTAGATAAATGGAGCTGTGTGCAATTGTTAAAGGTAACCATCTTTATAGGCAGTAAGCCCATGTCATTCATGTTGGGTTTAAGTACGTTAGTGACACAAATACTTTTGGAATTCACGTTACTCATTGCCTTAGATCTCTGGGTCAGGATCTATGTTTTTTCACCAGAGTATAAGACTTTACAATAATAGGTTTCTGTTTCATGATCAAAGCTACCATATGTTACCACAACAAAAACATCAACACACACTCTTGTAGAAACAGTTCTTTTCAGAGAAACTTTGCCTTGTGTTTTCGTACAGACTGAATTGGTACTTGTGAATAAAGCATAGAGCTCCAAAGCGTAGTACCTAGCACGCAGATTTTACAGTATTTGTCCAGTATTAGTGCATCATTTTGGGGAAGAACATATTGGTTCTATCTAGAGTGGTAAAATCCACTCCTTTTGCTTTTGTGCCAGAAGTCAAGCATATTCATAAAGATCCACCCATGTATTTAAGAACACTTCTCTCACATATCCCCCCATCCATGCCTGCTAAAGTGACATCCTCGCATAGAACCTTCTGTACATGAAAGCAGGAGAGAGGAGATACAGTAATGATACTTCCAAGACCGTTTTAGAAGTGACCTATACAATTAATGAAACAGTTCTGGTCTCTATTTCTCCTCTTCTGTACTAGTTAATGTACTTATTTTATAACTGATTGTATAATTACATGTCTCTGTGCTCAACACGCTCTAAGGTTTAGTCTTAACCATTACAGCAGGCTCCTCTCCACCATTTCTGCTTCATGAAGACAGTGCCTATAGTGGTTACGTGCTTAAACAAAAAAAACTCTCCCAAACTCCACAAAGAGGCCAATTCTCTTGCTTCTAATGGTAATCTGTTGCCCTGCCTTCTGCATTACTGCTTTTCCAGATTTCAGCAGCCTAATTTACCCAAGATCTGGAAAATGGACATTACAGTTTCACAAAACAGCTGTGCAAGTACACTGGCTCTTTGACGCGTATGCAGGAAGTTTCATGTGCTCATACACCACATATCTACATGTTTGACTATCTTGCAGCTCTGACTTTGGATCTATAACTGTTGTCAGGCTTGGAACATTCTTTTCAACAATTCAGACTGTTTTTCTACAGCTATTAGAGTTCTAAAATATTTTGTTAACGATAGTACAGAGCAGAAAACGACTTACTTCATAACTTGCAAAGCAGTATGTGCTTTCAGCTACAGTTTGTAATTAGTATGTTTTCTTATTATAGAAACATCTGGTACCAGTAAAAAAGTGATTCAAACATTCAGATCTTCAAATTTATTTTTATTTCTATTTTATTCTGTTTAAACCATACTTAGTTCAGGATCCATTTGGCTGATTTAATAGCTGTTGCTCCATTTTATCTGGATAGTCTGTCAATGCTAGTAGAAAATCTAAATGTGAATGTTTAATTTCCAGATACTTTGTAAGATGAGAATAAAGATAGTATTTGATTCCTCTCACTCAGATTTGCTTAAAACACAACTCAGACTTTGTACCTTGAATAATATTTTTGGCCCTTTGAAATCTTAAACATTAAACTGCCGTTCTTTCATGTTTTTGGAACTGCCGTAAACTGAAGCCACATGAAGTACAATTTACTCCAGTGTTTCACCGTTTAAGGAAAAGTGAATCAGTAAGATCAATCTAGAAAGAGTAAAAATGCAGCAAATAGCAGTAAAAACGCAGCAAATAGCAGTAAAAACGCAGCAAATAGCAGTAAAAACACCGCAGATTTGTTTGGAAAGATATCATGTGCGTGATCTAAATCTTTGCAAGAAACACTATCCTCACTTTTTGCCTTTCATGGTATAAGTTTCCATTTGCAGGGAGAGTCAATCACAAGCTCCATCCTCCATCGATGATTAGTTCATTGCCAGTCACGTAGGCAGACTGAAATTACATAAAAAAGAACAATGATTGGAACTAATTTTTCATGGCTCTTAATTACAGGGAAACTCTACTTCTTTAAATTCAAAAATCTGCTTTCTTTTTGTACAAACACTTTTTTTTGTTTTACAAAAATGCCTGAATAAATAATAAAATATCTCAATATAAACTTTGAAATTGAAGCCTTTCAGTTAACTCAAGGGAGTATTACAAAAGTATTATTAGAGGCATTGAGATGAGAATGCATCCTGAGTGTACAAATTCACATAAGCTAGACTTCAGATATCTTACCTATAGGAATAAATGCCTCACACTATGTTGTTATTAGCTCTATTCAGCTGAGCAGAATCTGACCAGGTCAGGCAATAATTATGAGGAGACCTAACTGAAAATTTAGATCATGCAGAGAGTGTGGTAAGCAACTGAGCTGTTGACATTCTTCTCTATGCCAGTAGTGAAGCATACTGAATTTACTGAAAAGCTAGAATTCTGTCTATACATGGTTGAAAACCCTGTAAGCAGATTCAAAAAAATTAGTAGTGTTAAAAAAAATACTAAAACCAAGATGAAATTGAGAGGCAGATTACTGGTAGATAGCAACATTAGGACTGAGTTAAATCCATTAAAGTATTTTGACATGCACATTAGGACTGCTGGACTAGTCCAGAGGAATCCAGTCCAGTTTTTGAGACGTAGTAAATCTATAGCAGATGGAATAACGTTGATGTGTGCTCATTAGTGTTGGTGGTATTTGAAGTGGTCATCAAGAGTTTGGTGTATAACAACCTCAGTGGGTCTATTGTTTTCCTTATGCTGAAAGGGCAGATTCACTCTGAGCATTAGCTAAAATCTCCAACAGTTCTACACAAATATTTTGCCCTTGAATAGCAAAGGTAGGTGATGACTACTAATTCTACCTCCTTAGAACGTGATCTAGCCATGGTGAAAGCTTGGAAAAAGAAAACAAGTCCATTTGTCCTACCATTTAAGATGATCTGGGGTCAGTCAATTTGCTCAGATGACATGAAACCACCAGGCTATGGTACCTAATGCCTTGCAATCCCTGTCAACATTCAGTACTTTTTGTATTGCAGGTTGAACTCAGTAAAAGATGGTCACATTTTTTTACTTTTCTAATAATCCAGCTCAAAGACAATATAAATAATTCTGAAACAAATACTCTGTACTGTGAGGCAGCAAAGTAGTGTGGGGATGCTCTGATGGGACATTCTGTCGTTCTATACTTACTTCATCAGAAGCCAGGTACACAAAGAGATGGGCCACTTCTTCAGCAGTAGCCATCCTACCAGTCTTCTGTCTGGCTAGAAAGTCTTTCAGTGCCTGGATATACAAGAGCATTTGGTATATCAAAAATAAAAAAGCAATTATTTTAATCTGTTGACATGTACAAGGCAATATTGAAAATAGTCCTCTAGTCATAACTTTCTTTTTGTGCACCGAGTAGGGAACTTACACTAGAAAAATATAAGATGAACAGTGATGTGAATTTCAGGTTGAAAAAAAAGTATGAGAGTTTTAGACAGCACCTAAATCTCTGCTTCCAGAATAAAGGCAACATATATTCTTCTTCCTTTGGTGGTAGATATTCCAGGTACTTCAAATGAGAGCTTACAGTTATCTAGTCAGTACAGATAGTCAAATAATGTTGAAATGCATAGGCCAGAATGCCCTTTCTAGCATGGTTTTGCACTAGTTTGTGGCTGCCACACACCACGGTAGAAAATGTCCTCTACTTTTGCATTGGGTACTGTAATCAATAGTTACAATTGCTTCCAATAATGACAGACTGTATTCACTAAGCAATAGTATCCTTCGGAGTCATTTTAAGACTGTGGAGTAGAAGCTGACCACATTATCAAAGGAGACACTACTGTTAAGTTATCCATGGTACTCTGAAATCGGGGACATTCTTGAATATGAACAGAAGTGCCACTATATATTAATATTTTTATTTAAAGAGAGTTAAACATATGTGTGCACAGCATCAAGCTAACAAATTGCTTTCTCACCTGTTCTGGGTTAGGCCGGGCTTTGATTCTCTCCTGTAAAGATGGTGTGTCAACAGTTCCTACGCAAAATTTTAAATTCGGTTTTAAAAATCAACTACATCAGCAATCATGACAAGAAAATGCAGTTTATTTGTTCTATTTTTATGTCTTAATGCTTATGTGTAACTTCATAATATAATTCAGCAGAAAGACTGCAGAGCTACCAATATAGCATAGGATTCTAAATTTCAATAGAAGGCAAGAGTTTAAGGAATCAGATTCAATAGTTTTCTGATGGTTAAATATGGGCCAGACCATTTGCTAGCCCTTGCCTGCTCCTGACTTCCTAGACTGTATCTTTGAAAACAAACATTCAAATACTGTGTAACACATATATAAAGTGCATATACTTGGTTAACAGACTAAATATACAGCTTAACCACAG